TGAAATTTTCTTGTTCATTATATGTTCAAATGATAACATGTGGATATATTTAATCAGAATATATATTACTAAAATTAGTTTGCATATTTCTCTGTGCCTTTTTTCATATCAGAAAATTTTAAATTGAATTTCTGGCTTGCATTATATTTCCATTGCTCAATTTTGATCTGAAGTCTTAGCAATTAACTGGAGTTTTGATGAAAAGAAAAAGAATTTAAGATTTTGAGACCGAATGACTAGAGAAATTGTGCTTGAGGAGAAACAAGGCAGTTGCATGCAGAAGCTGACTGATGTATTAACCACGCTGCATTTGAAGAGCTATCCACCCTATCAGTCAGGCACTTGTAATCACAGGACTCATCTGGAGCCAGGATGCAGCTTCAACTGACTGTGGGCAGAGACTCAAACTGCTGGGAAGCCCAGAGAGTTCTTTGCCCACTCTGTGTCTCCCCCACCAACCAAAGAAAATAAATTTTAGGAAACGACAAGTCTCACTTCAAGTGTTCTAATCAATGAGCATAACCATTAGGTAGGTTCATGTTTGAAAGTGAGTCCATATTTTCACAATTTAAAGGATGTTCATTAGCTAGGCATCAGGTTTAGCAGTTAAAATGCTACCTGGCAGGCCTGTATCCTTTGACAGTCATGGCTCTGCCTCCTTCAACAGCAGGTGATATCAAAGACCTGGACCCTTCCCAACAGAAAGCCTCAGATTCAGTTTCTGGTTCCATGCTTAGGCCTAACTTGCAGTCACATGGAAAGAGAACAGACAGGAGATCCCTGTGTCTGTTAGTATTTTGCTGTCCTTCCTTCTGCCTTTCAAATAAATAAACGAATATGGGCACATGGGGTGGGGTGGGGTGGCAGTGTTTATGAACCATATAGTTCCTGCACGCTTCTGAATGGAGTAGTGAACAACAAAGTCAGGTTCTCTCAATTCAAGTGGGAATATTAACATCTGCAGATTGTTGAAGGCAAAAATCTCAGGGCCAAATACAAGCTGATTTGCAGCTTGTTCCAATACAGTCAGTGGCACTGAGCAGACTTCAACACTAAAAGCAACAAGACAGAGGCAACTTCCTGGTTTATGAGTCCTACCACCCTTTGGCATCTGGTTCCCCTGACCACTCTCCACAAGCATGAGTCACAGAAGCTACAGAACATGCTGCTCTTCATGCTTGCAGAGAACAGGTGATAGCTACCAGTAGGCCATATTTCATTGATTTTGACCTTCAATTTTTTAATTGTTTTTATTTTTATTATTTGTTTGAAAATCAGAGAGAGCTATTATCTGCTGTTCCTTTACAAAATGTCTGCAGCAACTAGGGCTGAGTCTGACTTAAGCCAAAAGGCAGGAGCTCCATCCTGCTCTTCCACATGGGTGGCAAGGAATGTGGAAGCAAAACTGGAGAATGGGGTCAGGGTTCATACCCAGGCACTCTGATCTGAGATATAGCTGTACCAAATGATGCCTTAATCACTGTGCTGGACATTCACCTCTTTCTGATTTAAAAAAGATTTATTTAATTGCTCATGTTATCTGACAGGCAGAGAAATTCAGCAGCATCTCCTATCCACAGGTTCACTCCCAAAATGTCTGCAACAACTAGGGTTGGACAGAAGGTCTTTGACATGGGTGGCAACTAAGCAGATATATGAGCCATTACCTGCTGCCTTCCTTGGTATACATTAAAATGTAGCAGACATCAGGAACAGAGTGGGAATGCAAACACAGGCACTCAGTATGGAATGTAGGCAATTCGAGCTATTCATGCAATAGTGTTATGACCAATGCAATAAGCACCTGCCTTGTTCCTTTGTTTCAAGAACATTTGAAGGATGCTTTGGTAGGTAGTAGTCAGAAAACAAAAGATCAGGGGCCGGTACAATAACCCAATTGGCTAATCCTCCACCTGCAAGTGCCAGCATCCCATTCATGTGCTTGCTGTTCCACTTCCCTTCCAGCTCCCTGTTTGTAGCCTGGGAAAGCAGTGGATGATGGCCCATAGCCTTGGGATCCTATACCCATGTGAGAGATCTGGAAGAAGCTCCTGGTTACGGGCTTTGGATTGGCTCGGCTCCAGCCACTGCAGCCAAATGAACTACTGGAGAGAGGATCTTTCAATTTTCAATCTGTCCTTTGCTCTGTACATCTTGCCCTACCCCCCACAAGAAAATAAATAAATCTTTAAAAAGTGACTTTACTGTGTAAATTCGTCATGAGCATCATTTCTCCTTAAATGAATTTTCTGTATCTAAAATAAATCCAGCATTGACTTGTGTAACTTGGAAATATGCACGACTCTCTTCAGAGCCAATTTTACTCCATATTTCAGGTGCTAAGGCTATAGAAGTATCCATCAACCATCCAGCAAATCTCTGAAAAAATGTGGGGAGATGATATTGAATAGAAATTGAAAACGACATGAAGTTGTCTGCCATGGTCAGAATGGCTGCTAACTCTACATGTTGTTCATTTGAGTGCGGAACTCTGAATAACCTGGTTTGGATGCTTATTTGTGCTCCACTTAACATGTCAGAAGATGAAGCAGTTGCTGCTCTCCCTTCCACACCCATCCATACCCTTAACCATCTTCCCTCTTGACATCTAGAGCCTGTCTCACACCAGGACCTCTCCACAAACTGTGATTCCAGTGATCTCCATTTTTTCCCAGGATGTGCTCAGGGTTTCACCTCTGACATCCCCATGGAGAGGTTATCAATAAATCAAAACATTGTCATGGACACAAGACCAGATACTGACCCGAAGATTCTTTTCAACTTACTTTCTCCTGCAAATATTATCCTTTCATTATACTGCTATATTTGTACTGATGAGTACTTCTGGAACTTTATGCATGTAAATGAAACAACTTTTAAGAAAATCATGGCAACAACAGAAAGCAGTAAAGTGGTTGCTTGAAGAAGTAAGGAACAAGACGGAATCAGAAACAAGGACATGTATCTAATCTAACAGCAAATGATTCCTTTAGTCATAAGTGGTAAATACATGAGAATATGTCTGACTACAATTTTAAGGTATATCTTTATATTTCATGCATTCTTTGTTTATGAGATATTGAATTTTTTAAAGTATGACCAAGTACACTTATCCCAATAATTTATTTTAGTTTCAAGAAATGAAATGCTGCCAGTTAAGTGTTTATGGATGATGAGAAAGTCATTGTCATTATTTAAGCAGGTGATTTCAAGAAAGCATGTGTCCAAAAAAAGAAGAAAGAAAGAAAGAAAGAAAGAAAGAAAGAAAGAAAGAAAAGAAAGAAAAGAAAGAAAGAAAAAGAAAGGAAGGAAGGAAGGAAGAAAGAAAGAAAGAAAAAAAGGAAGGAAGGAAGGAAGGAAGGAAGGAAGGAAGGAAGGAAGGAAGAAAGAAAGAAAGAAAAAAAGGAAGGAAGGAAGGAAGGAAGAAAATGTCAGCACACAGAGTTTAAATGGTAGTGGGTATGTAGTCCAGTACTGCTCCAAATATTCACTGCTTTGACTTTACAAAGGTGATTTCCCCCACTCTGTGGCTGACAAGCTTGGCCATGGTTTTGCTTCAACAATGGAATTTTAAGTATAAGCATGTAAGCAATGTGTGCCACTCAGGGGCAAATCCTTAACAGAGGTGCATGGTTCTGATACTCATGAAGAAACGTGGCCAGACTCCTGTGGACTGAACTGTTCATCCTGTCCAGGTTCAGGAGTCCAGTTGACCAAAATAGACGATTATGAGATCACAAAATGAATCTTTGTTATTGTACAGTCTACAGGCTAAGCTACATTTGGATAGTGGTGCAGTGAAACAAAGGGAAAAACAAAGTCTCTGGTTACAACCAGTGAGTAAAGCATCAGGTTACTCTAAAGAAGATCACTTTGAGAAGAGGAGATGAATATTAGAGGACATCCAAATTAGGGAGGAGAATGACTGACAGTACCACATCCATACTACGGGCAAGCTGAGAGTCCAAGATGAAGGTCAGAGGGCAGAGCCTCGGGGAATAGAGAGAAATTGCTCCATCAGAGGCAGTGACAGAGGGAGAGCTGGTAAAAATAGAGATGAAAGGAGGAAATGTGAGCAAGCTGGAGGAGGGGAGTCTCACTCTTTGGAGAAGGTTAGAGGTGAGGGCAGCTGCTGGCAGTGAGCTATGGACATGATGTGAGGGGCCATTGCAGAGTGAGGTTTGGCTTTGTAGAAACAGCTGTCCGAGTCCGTACACAAGGGAACTTCACTGCCTGATGCCTAGCCAGTGAAATGCTGACTTTGTGCAGCTAATAACCGCAAAAGTAGCATAAAATCACTACTGGCTCTTTGTCTGTTTACATAGGGGAAATTAATGTATCCACTGATTTCTTACTAGTCTATATAAATGTAGATTCTTGTGGCTTTAGGAATAGCAGGGCACTTCAAAAACTATGTAGAAAATGCAATTAAAAGATAATGTTACTTTGATGCCAAAAAAATAAAATAGAAATCCATGATGTACCTTTTCCACAATGCACATTTTTTCAGAATAGTTTTGAAGATTTCACATAATTTCTTCATCAGCATTTTCAAGATAGAGTGCAACAAATGGTATTATTTGCAGAGAACACGGAAAGAAAACTTTACGTGTTTGCTATAAATCATTAAAAATTATCAAGGTAGATTGAATATGTTAGGTATAATTAAGTTTCTGAATTCTCATAAATTAAATGTTAAGATACTTCAGACAACATATGATTGTACGAGCAAATTGAGAGGACACAGTGATTCAGAAATAGGTACAGTTCCCCCACAAGATTTGCTGGATCCTTTATTATCAATTGTGCTAAATCTGTTTACTAAAATATTTGGTTTCAGATTAATTTAAGCTTATAATTATATTTATAACATTATTCCATTTCTTTATGTAAGGCAATTTGCATGAAATTTTCATAAAATCTTTTTTGGAAAATCTGGAAATCTAACAGGACCACTTAATCTGTGAAACTACGATAAGAACATGCAACTCCATAATCACCCTTGTGAAGAGAGGTTCCAAGCCATTTGGAGCAGTGGTTGGGCGAAACCTTCTCCTTCTCCAGGATTCAGATCTATTTTCCTTTCTGATTTTTCCATTTAGGGGAGGAGGTGGAGGAGGAATAGGCATCAAGTAATTGCTAATGTTCGGAAGTTGATATGGATTCATTCTCTGTGAACTGTCTGTGGAGTTCTTGAACTTCATCATGGCCTTCTTGCCCTGTAATTACATATCATGACATAAGAACCAATGAAACAAAAGTGGTGACCGAGAGTAACCCAAAATTAAAGACAGCTTGAATGACTGAAATTGCAGGCAAACACATATGACATCAAGAAACTCAAAACTGTTTAAAAAAAATAAAAGCACAAGGGGGAACTTTATAGTCATTCCATAGCACACTAAATATTTGTAAGTTTATAAATCTATACAGCAGAGTTTAACAAAATAGGAATGACATTTTTATGGTAGTACTTTCAGCATTCTTTCCTTAACAATGCACTACAGAAATCCAATGCATTTTAGTAACAAAATAAAGAAATTTGCAAATTATTGTTTTGAATCAGCATTTTTTTAGTATTATTATTTTTTAAATTTTGTTTTATGACAGTTTTTTAGGCTCTGGGAGTCCCCCAACCCTTCCTTATGCCCTCCCCCCCATGTTGGATTCCTCCACATATTGCAGTAGTACAGTTCATATCCAGTCATGATTTCTTCATTGCAAGCATGGACCTTACAGAAAGTCTGGCGTCTTATTGTCCAGATAAATTTGACAGTTTCTTTGGGAGACCATCTCTGATCTGAATGAATCAGCATTTTTAAATGTACTTTGTTATGTCACTGAATAACATTTTAGACAATACTGCGTGAAATACTTAGGTGTCATTCAATTGTTCATTATTACAAAGATGACAGTATACAACTTTGCTAAATCTCCTTATATATGAGAATATTCTTATATGCTAGAGTGTCTTCATTTGAAATTGTGATAGTCCTCTATTTCCTTCACAACTAGGTATACTAAGAATTTATACTTCTACTACTGGTATTAGACAAACAAGACTTTGAAGGTACTCATCTTCCATCAATTCATTATTTTACTCAGTTGCATCCCCAAATCATGTTTTTTTTACCCCATTTCTTTTGCTTAATTCAAGGAATATCACTTCTGCTGCATAGCAAAATTCAGCTGGTTTATATCTGTGGCATTTTAAATACTATCCATACACAATTCTTTAGCTCTTAAAGACAATGAGAATTTATTGAGTGATCATTCACTAACTCAATCATGAACTAGTAGTATTTGAAAAAATATTTTTTGTTGGAAGGGCAGATAAGATTTTTGGAGAGAAGAAGAAACATGGAAAAACATCTTCTGTCTGGTGGTTCACTCCCACAATGGCCAGAGTTTAGCCGATCCAAAGCCACAAGTTTTTCTGGATCTCCCATGTGGGTACAAGGTCCCAAGGTTTTGGGTCATCCTCTACTGCTTTCCCAAGATACAAGGAGGGAGCTGGAAATGAAACAAAGCAGCTGGGACGTGAACAGGCACCCCAGTGGGATGCCAGCACTTGCAAGGTGAGATTAGCTATTGAACCAATGTACCAGTCCCATGAATTAGTATTCTTTTATGGAACCTCTGATTATATTGTATTTGCATAATCAATGTCAATGACAATAATTGTATGCTTCCTCTTTGTTATTTTGTCTGCTTTGATAACTGATATACCATAAATGTCTATATCAACACCTAATGATAGCAAGTGCTCAATACTCACTGAATGAAATGAAGTACAGCTAATCAAAACCAGTATGAAAATTATCTTAACCTTGTCAACATTCATGAACCAATAAGTAGCTATCCCTCAACAACTCACACACCAAAAATTTAGAACCAGGAAAAGAAAAGGTCTTATATAGATTTAATAAGTAAAACTATCCATAAGGCTGTGAGGATTTGGAAATCCCCCTGCAAAACGAAAAAACCTGCTTCCCAGTCAATAGAATGTGAATATTACCTTACTGATAGTGATCACACACCTGATAAGACAACATATTGATCAAAGGTGGAATTGGTAAGTATGGGGAGCTGAGAAAAAAAATACAATCACCTTGGTAAGTATGTGAAGAACTCATCTGAGGATGAACTTGGGAAGAGGAAATACTACCCATGGACTTGAGTATTTCCAGTTCTAACTACAATACTCTCCTTGGAGGATAGCAATTTTCAGCCAAAGCCTTTGAGAGTTTTTGGTAACCTTTGCCCAAACAAACCTACTCCTATAATGCAATGAATGCATTAGGCCACCTTGGCATGACATGAATAACATTCCATATCACTCATTCTGATTCCACACTCACTAAGCAACCTTCTCACTATGGTTTCACTTCCCATGTAGGTCTGCCTACAAGGAAGAACACACTACTCCTTTGACTGTCATTCATTGGTGACTTAGTGGCCACTAATTATGACTCTGTTGCTCTTTTGGCTTGACTATTGAAGTACAAATGAAGTTACTATAAATTGGTTTACTTCAACCCAACAATCTCTCAGGACTTGACCATTTCTGTACATTGGCTGACATAGGAAATCTTTGCCACAGGATAGAGATCTGATCCTACAAAGTGCCAAACTAATTGCTTTATGAGTCAATGAGTTCCTGCTAAGCTGTAAGCCTAGACAGAACACCATCACCTTTGGATTAATTCTACTACTGCCTTGGAAGCTACTGTTAAATTATTGAAGTAAAGGTTAGTAAATAGTGCTGCACAAGCTGAAAAATATATTAATGGATAAAAACAGTATTTTTAGCTATAATTATACTTTCTCTATAAAACTCAATGGCTTATTTGAATAATTTTTAGTGGCCAGTGGATGCTATAAAATATCTAAGATATTTCATATTTCCTAATAAGACGCAAAATGTAATCCATTCACTTTAATATGACAACCATACAGCACAGTTTCACTCTGATACTGGCAAATGCTGCTCTTTTATGTCAGAAATATAAACAATATCCTCCCTATCTAGGAATGTTTAATTATCCTTCCCTATTTAAGTAACTCATATTTCATGGTTACCATACCACCCGCATGTGCTGTGTTAAAATAAATGAAAATTATCTTAGACATAACCTTGAAAGAGAAGCAGATTCAAGCTCCTGGGTGTGATTAACTCAGCATCTTCAAAGATGGACATTCACTTCCTTCCATATTCAACCTTCTAAAAGTCAAACTCAAAGCAATTTCATACACTGATGGGAAAGTAAGTCGGCATGCAAATGCAGAACTACTCTTGGAAAATTTCATTTTCTAGGGTTCATGAATTGAAAATTTGGAAGGAGTCAACAAGGGTCTTTTCTGATGAAAGTCATATCTGACTATGAAGTCTTTTCTTTTTGTTTTTCAGTTAGTCTTTCAGATTAATTAGAACTCCACATGCACTTTCAAAAATCTATCCATACTCTTTTTGTTCAATAACATAGAAACTGAAGGCCTTTAATTAGAGTATCATGTAATTAATCAAAAGTACATAGTAACTGCTCAATAAATGCCCTGCATATACTTCACAATATGGGTTAACGAATACCTCATATTAATGACTATGGTAACCCAACGTTTAATCAAGAATTTAAATATATTTCATTAATAAAATGACATTTACCCCAACAGGAAATGGAGCTTCACTTTCCAGCACCGAGGTTTTTGGTCTGGACCCTGAAGTTATCTTTGGAACAGTTCCTACAGCTGGATTACTGGCAAGAAGCTGCAATCGAATTGGAGGCTGCATATTTCCTGGAGCCGTATATGGTCGAGGGGCTGTCTAGACAATTAGGGGGAAAATTTCATTTAAATTAGTACCTTGACATGTTTCCAGAACCAATTAATAACCTAACAAATTGCCTAGAGTAATTAATGGTGCCTTTTTACTGAACAGATTAAACTTTAATTATGTCCTTCCATTATACATACCCTTATGACCCAAAGTATTTGTTAAAACATATGGTGTTGAAGTCCTCTACATAACTAAATGCCACAATTATGGAACATTGTAGACAAAAGAGATGTCCTCTATTACATTCCTGTATGGTTATTCATACCATAAATTCACAGACAATATCTAATTTATGCTGTGCATAGATTGGCTTTGCTCAATTAAATGTTAAATTGAATAATATTCCTGTTTTAAAAGTCTGAATGGATATTATTGGAATGGACTCACTTCTGCTTCAATGTTTTCAATAAAAACTCTACTCTGAAGCTTTCAAGACTCAAGATTAAAATTGGTGCGGAAGTAAAACCAAACAATATAATTCAAACATGAGGAAAGATGGATTTCTAACTGTAATTCCTTGTCATTTATTCAATCATTTTCTTGAAATAGTAAGAAAACAAAGATGAAAAATTGCAACCGGCAACTGTGGCAAACACCGTATGAAAAAGGGATGTTTTCCAGTTGCTCCTCTAGGTCTACTGTTCACCTTCTCTGGCTTGCTGGGACATCAGGAAGTCATTTGTTGAGAACCACACCAACTAACCTCTGAAGTGCAGCTGGATTCCTCCAGTGAGAGGCATGACAGGAGACAGGACAGGAGACTGAGATCAGGGTGTTTATTCTCCTGGACCCCTCCCTGCAGCTCATAATGGGACAGCTGGGACCCTCTACGAAGGTCCACAGCTCCTGGTGGAAAGTCCTCTCCTAGCTCCAGGTACTATCTACTCCTTCTGATATCCATTTCTCTTCCTGTATGTCTCTGGAGGCTGTGACTTCCCACTGTGCCTACCTCAGCAGGCTTAACATCACTCCTTGGTTTTTCCTTAACCCTGAGTGCATTTTTTTTTGTAAACAGTTTTTTTTTTTTAATGCTTCCTAATTATCCTTTTTGTGTGAGCCATCTGCTTCCTGCTGAGCCCCTAACTGGGGCATTTTCCAGTCATGAAAGTGCTGCAACAAATACCAAAAGTGTCAGTATGGAGAATTAGAAGCACATTTCTGGGCATGGATAGAACATGTATGTTTAGTGCAAAGCTTTGCAATCCGTCAAAAGCAGGAGAAAAAAGGAGATTTTTGGTCTGGTTTCCTTATTACAAAGATAGTGGACAATTGGTCAACAATAGGACATGCTTGTTTGGATAAGAGGATAGTACAAAGATGGTATGTAAAGTTCTCGTGATTAAAGCTCAATACTTTTGACTCCCTTGAATCATAAAGAACAAACAATGAAAAAAAGAGGTGTAAATACGCTTTTAAAAAATGATGTTGAAGCAGCTTTTACTTCCAAAAATCAATCTTGGTACCATCTTGAGAAGCAAGGCATATATTGCTATATTACTGCTTCTGCTGCATCAGCATTTATTGAATTTCTTCCATTGGATAGGCCTTTTGCTAAAGCAAAACAGTAATTTTTAACATCGGCAACCCAAGACAGTTGCCAAGCAGTGACAACAAAATATCTGTGAACAGAAGACATAACCAAATATCTCAAAATATTTTGTTAGCCCAGTGAGACTAATAAAATTAAAGTTTCACAGAAGCAGTTAGGTTATATTCAACTGGTTAAACAAAAGAAGAAATTGATAAGCAGAGAAAAATGATAAGTCTGAATATTCAAAAAAGAAGAGAACTGGTTGTCGGTCAAGCCATAGAAAGAATAGTAGAGGTAATATTTTGTGATACCTGCTTTTATTTCTTCACTAATAAAAAAAATTTGTATCTGGTAACACACGTATCAGAAGTAAATGTTATATTTTTTTTAAGATTTATTTTGATTATTTTTTGATTGGAAAGGCGGATAGACAGAGAGGAGAGACAGAGAGGAAGATCTTCCGTCCAATCATTCACTCCCCAAGTGAGCGCAAAGGGCCATACTATGCCAATCCGAAGCCAGGAGCCTCTTCCGGGTCTCCCACGCGGGTGCAGGTTCCCAAAGCTTTGGGCCGTCCTCGACTGCTTTCCCAGGCCACAGGCAGGGAGCTGGAAGGGAAGCGGGGCTGCCAGGATTAGAACCAGCCATTAGAACCGGCGCCCATATGGGATCCCGGGCGTGCTAGGCGAGGACCTTAACCACTTGCGCCACGGCGCCGGGCCCAGAAATAAATGTTATATTTTTTAAACATCCATTATAACCATGAAAAGATCTGAATGACTTTAGTTTTGGTGAATAAAATACAAGCAAATGTGATATACAAAACTTTCAGATCATAATGTTAGATCCTTTCTAATCTTTCCCTTTGGCAGAAAGATCCACATAGGTCTGCCATCTAGACTCATGTGGGTGAAGGCAACACTCTACATTTGGTATGTCAGCAGCATAAAAAGGATTTGAGCTTTTAGTGACTCTCTTGAGTAAGGACAGCAGGCTAAGAGACACTCATGTACTAGGAATTTCAAAGAGTTTATGGAAAATCGATATTCCACTTGATTTCATTTTCCACAAACATTTTATAAACACACTTTTTACAGTTTACTTAAGACATTGTACGTAACAGTTGTACTTAGGACAATTGAACATGGAAATTCAGTTTGGGTCTCACACATAAGTTGGTGGCAGGGACTAAAGCACTTGAGCTACCAACACCTGTTCCCTCCAAGGTTTCACATTTTCAGCAAGCTGGAATGGTGAATTGAGCTGGGGCTCAAAGCTAGGCATTCTGACATGGAATAATGGCATCCCAAGTGGCATCCATCTCTTTTATCAATGTTATCTTAATTTTTAAAATTTATTTGAAAGGCAGGGTCAGAGGGAGAGAGAGGAAGAAGAGAGGAGAGGAAAGGGGGGAGAGAGAGGAAAAAAAGAGGAGAGGAAAGGAGGGAAAAGGGGAAGAGGAGAGGAGGGGAGGTAGGGAGAAAAGAAGAGAAGGCACTTTCACCCACTGATTAAATCCTCAAATAGCCACAAGGGCCTGGGCTGGGCGAGGCCAAAGCAGGAGCCTGGAACTTCACCCAGGAACCCCATGGAGTTGCCAGGACCCAACTATTTAGTGCATCATCTGTTGCTTTCCCAAGTGAATTAGAAGAGAGTTGAAGCAAAAATATAGTATCCAGATCAAAACTTTTACTCTGATATGGGATTCCAGCAATTCAGGTGGCAGCTTAGCTCCCTGAGCCACAACACCTTGTTTTGGTCCTCTTAACACAAACCTATATCTGGAGCAATAAAAGGAACCAAGTGGGTTGACAGGAGCAACATTGGATTGAAAGAAAGGGAAACTAAGAGTTATAAGGGCCAAGAGGTAGGAAGTATTAAAGCCCAGAAAGGGAAATTAAGTTGGAGGTTCCTGAACAAAGGAAATAAAAAGAATTCACTTGACCTCTATAAAATAAATGTGCCTTAAGAGACTGTCCTATCAGACAGTTCGCTGAAAACAAAAACATGAAGAATATTTCATAGGAATTCAACAAAGCAGGTGACAGAACTAGAACATGATCTATCAGCCATTATGCCCTAAAATTTATCTCCCTCCATTTGCCTACAGATATCATTCAGTTAGATGAATGTGGCAAATGTTTAACTGATTACATTTATCTCTCAAAACAAATCTGCATCATTAACTAACAGCTGTGAGCTACAAACTACTGTAGTTCACATTAGCAACTACCTTAAACTTGCTACATTTTAAGTCAGTCGCAATATATTTTCTGAGAATAAATATGGCACTGTAGCTTAGCATTCTCAAAATATACCCAAATGTGAATTGAAATTGACTACCTGGTGATTACTCAGCTTAGCTGAGCATTTCTAATTCTTAGCAGATCTCTTGGGGTGAATTTTCCAAGCATGTGCAGAATTACTTGAAATGACTTTCCACAGTTTAAATGGGAGTGTTGCAGCTCAAAGCTTCTATGCTATTTTCAAAGTCTAAATGCAATTAGAACCAATGACACTAACAAGGCCCTGGTACTTTCCTTGTTCATTCAAGAGAATGAAAAAGAAACAAACCAGTGGGGAAATCCCCAAAGGATTATCATCCTCATCTGCTTGGCACTTCTAAATCATAAGGCAGCTCCGAAAGTTCTGTATCCACATTAGGAAAACAAAGAAATCAAACTTGAACTTGTGTAAAATGGGAACTACTACGATTCCAAGGTGAACAGTAGGTATCCACTCAGTTGCAAAGGCACGATGGGGTAATCAAGGGAAGAATTCCAGCTTACCAAAGAAAAGAAGACTTTTAAACTGCTAGTGTCAGTGTTTCCTGTAATTTTTAAATTACTTTCTCACTCCTGCTGCATTAAGATCGCCTGGATGTATCATAAACTATTTATTGAGAGTGTTCAGCTGGAAAATTGAAAAGAAAGCCTTGGAAGGGTTTTCCTCTCTGAAACAGGTGGGAAGACTGAAAAACAGCCCTTGATTGTTTCCTTTGTTTCACCCCAGTCAAGCTTTTGAGAATCTAGTGCGTTTACCATCCAATAAAAGAATCCTTTATATACATACACATTCCAATCAAACCTGGGAATAGGGTACCAACAAAAGGAAGACAGTTGTCTTCCAGCACTTGTGCTGCTCATCAGGAAATGTCAAAACAGATTTACCTTGTGAAAAAATGTCAAAGCTTAACATCTGCAATGATCCTGCTTCAACACCCTGAACACATTGTGATTTCTCTACAAATATTGTGCAACTCAAAAAAGGTGCTAATGGTAACAAAGAAATAGAGTAAGTCACACAAAACAAGAAGATTTACCAAGCAATCCAGTTCCATTTGAAACTACTGACCTCCTGCAAATCTTAGCAAAACTTTCCCTGAATGTATATTGTTTCAAGATATTTCACCTGTCTTCATGCAAAACTACCTCTAGGATATAAATGGAACAAACAAACATGTAATTCTTCAAACAGAATTTCTGTATCTTTGTTTTTATCTTAGAGTACATGTACACACTTTTGACATAAGGGGTTCAAATGCTTGTATCTGACTAAACAGACTTTATGGTACCAGTGAATTTGCACAAATAAGGCAAGAGCCTCAAGAACAAAATCCAGAGTTAGAAAAATATAAATCATGCATGGGCCATCTTGTAGTTCAATTTTGCTAGATTATAAGGTGTTAATGGGGTAATCATGGGGGACATACCAATCTAGCTAAATTGGCCATATAATCTAAGATCTTAACCGTCAGGTAGAAGACTCTGCCTTTTGTTTAACAAGTAATGTGAAGACAGGTAAAGTATTTGGGTAAGAAAATAACACAGTTAAGTACTCTGTACTTCAATAAAAATAGCTGATTGGTAGCAGGCAAAATGGATTTGGCAGGGGTAATAGAGATTGGAGGTGAGCATTCAAGAGAAACAGAGTTGAACAAGTATTAGTCTATCTTTGCAATCAGTAGGACCCACAGGATTGTGTGGACATGTGCCCAGAGAGCATTCTTTCTGAGATTAATCAGAAAACGTAAATTAAGTAACTGGGATTCTGCAAGACAGAGTGTTTACCATGACTCACCAGTGCCAATGGACTAGAATGTCTTTCATCAACCAGAATGCTATGGCCACCATTAGTCTTTGGGCCCAATGGGGGGTGAGGAGACAGGATTGTCATGTTGTTTTCAACAGACCAGCTTGTGTGCTCTCCCTGAAATAAAAAAAGGATTCAGTGAATAGATACAGGTTAGGTTAGCTCCTGACATGGGATGGACAGAAGCAGGTTATTTAGCTTCTTGATGCAAATTACTACAGAGATTAGCAATCTTTCTTGACTGTGTAATAGTCCTAATACTGGAATCAGAAAAAATACTGCAGAGCAGCACTTTTCTATCTTTAAAAATAAATGACATTAAGCAAAAAATTTGCATACTAAATGAGGGGCTCTAAACCATATCTGTTGTCCATCGCAGCCAAACAGTGAAAATCCTCACAAATAAAAACCCTGTAAGCGAAAAAAGAGCCTTCAGCATTACCTCCAAATTCTGCCAATGCCATAACATGACCAGGTTTTGTGTGTCTGGCAAGCTGGTCACAGCCACAACAGCTTCTAGTGTTTTAGACTGAAATAGTAATTCTTGATTTTCAGTGACTTTTTTCACTATCAACATTTCAGTAGATAAATTACAGAATCTATAATACAGTGCTTCATGTAGCACAACATTCACCAAGTTGAATTAACACAAATCTTTATGTGCCCACTCTTCTGTTCTTGAAAATCTGACCAATCTTCTCATTTTTGAACATGCTAGTAACAGGATTAACTTTTGGCTATGTCAGAATAGTCTTGAGTCTAGCAGGCAAGAAGGGAGAAACACCGTCTGTTATGGCAAGTTATGCTAGAGAAGCTTTACAAGTGTTCATCCGCCTGTGAAACATGGCTTGAGCCCCACATTTATAAAAATTACTAGCAACACATGAGTCTGAAGGGCTTAAGAAACATAGGAACATTGCCAACGTAAACTGACATCTTTCAAACATGCCTAATAGAATGTCTTATCCTTGGTTCAAATTTATATGTTTCATAAATTCACTGCAAAACTGAGATACCAGACAGAAAAGTAGAAAGCAAACAAGGAATTGGAACATGCTTTGTGCAGAATGTCTAAATTTTATTACACTCTCCTTTGCTAGGAAGGATCTCCCCCCTTTGTAATTTTCAAGTGTCACATTCACATGAAAATGTGCCACTGCCAATGCTTGATCAAAGTTATCTACCACGGTGGGAACATCACCATCTACGTTTATTTTTCTAATACAGCACAAACGTCATTTGGCCTCTTTTAGAGGAAAATACTAACAAAATTTCATACATAAAAAGGTTGATTTCAAGTTTGAAAGATTTGTGTTTCTTAAAATACATTTAAACAATAAATGGCTCCTGTTTGTTACCATTGTCTGTAAACACCATAATCAAAATTCAGGCTTGGTGAAACCATCATTTGACCCCAGCTATGTGTTATTCAAAAAAAAAGTGCTCCAGAGAATCTAATAGTGCAATTTTTTTTCCAAGATAATACAAGTAAAAGTTATGTAGCTCCTTACCTTAAATCCAGGAATTCGCTCTTTCCTAGCTAAGATCTCCAGTTTCTTTTTTATTTCAAGCTGATGGTGACGCTAAGAATGAAGAAGAAAATCCCTATAAATTATAGCAAAGAATTTTTAAGGAAAAAAACCTCAATAGCAAACTATATTGTCAATTACCTCTCGTCATTGAGATGGAGAAGAATCACCTGTGTGTAAGTGTGCAGGTGCGAGTATAAATTGGAACAAGTCTTCAGCAAACCAATTTCAAACATACATTAGGCAGTTAAAAGTGTTTATATCCTTTAATCACCAAATTTAACTTCAAAGTCTAGAGGAAAACATGAATAATCTTGGAAATGTTTTCTGTACAATGATATTATTTGAAAATGTTTTTGCTTTTTCTTCAAAACAGAACAACAAAAGAAATACAAACTTCAAAGATAATGGTTTCTCTGCCTATCCTTATGATAATCAGTCATAAATGAAATCAGAGTCATAAATATTTTCTTTTAATGGAGAATTCATGGTTTGCAGGAAGACGATTCGTGTCCATTATCTCCTCTTAAACAACTTTAATTGCTGGGCGCTCTCACGAAGAAGCCAGGCCAGGGATCATCCTCACCATCCAGCCAGTAGGGGAGGTGTAATTGGAACCCTAACCTGACATTAGCTGCCTGGAGCCTTTGTGTTTTTTTCATAAAGCCATGTCCCTCACAAGACACAGCATACTTTTATTAATGTGTAAAAGTGAATTTAAAAATTTTTAAATTAGAGTATGTTAACAGCAGTTATCTGAGATGAGAAATTATAAGGGTTTGTTTTCCTATAATGTGCTTCTTTCATTTTCCATTTTTTTTCTGGAATAACAGTTTTGTAATAATTTTGTAAATTAAAAGTAAGTCTTACATAAAAATGACCTGTTTATAATATGGTTTTAAATCATTGGTCATATTTGAGGGTGTTTTATTTATTGGCTCCTTGAGAAAATGATTTCTGCTTTGCTTCTGAGCCTGTCCTCCTGCTGCCTTGGGGATCTTACAGACTCAATCATTCTCTACCTGAGCATCATCAATCCTCTTCTTGACACTTCCCTTTCCTTTCTCCCTCTTTCCCTGATCTCTCACCCACTTATCACCAAACTTTATTAAATTCACTATCAACCATTTTCAATCTTTTCACTTATTCCCAGCTCTCAGCAGTCAGTCCCTGCTCATTACCACTTTGGAAACGACTTTCACCAAGGCCACTAACATCTTTGCCTTCTGGGTCAAACCTAATTTCCTGCTACCCCAGTGCTTGTCTTGCTCACCCATCCTGCCTGGAAGAGCCTCATGCGTCCAGGACACCCTTCTATAGGACACGGTTTTGCCACCGGCCCCTATTGTTATCCCTGCCATTCCTCAGTAAATGCAGCACCTGTAGGCGGTTGGAGAACTCAGGCTCCCCTGTGGCTCCTCCCTCTCCCTCAGCCCCCGTGTTCAGTCAGTTTAAATGTCTGTCTTCAGTGTCTCCTTAGACAGCTGCATCTCCCAAGCGTTACCACAACTGCTGTTAGTCCATGCCCTCTGGCAATAGCTTTCTAATTGACCTCCCACCTCCCATCTTTTCCAGCTCATTAATCCATCTTCCGCAATTTTAGCTACATCATCTTTCTGAAAGAGCTCTGCTCATTTAGTTCACTCCCCTGCTGAAACATGTTTCATCGTCTATCACCTACACTCTACACACTTAGTTGGGAATTTAAGGGTACAGCAAGGCCCCCACCTATGGGACAGTCACTTCCAACCACGCACTGTGCAGGCTGGCCTCGGTGCTCTTCCCTTTCCATCCTCAATGTCCTTATGTGTCTGCTGCCTTCACTCTCTGGAAGGCCCTTACCATGTTTTCCTGTTGCTTCTCATTTAGTCTTCACAGTTCCGTTCCATTAGCAGGAGCTGTTTGACGCCCTACAACTCTCCTAGACAAACGGGTCCCTCCCCTGGAAGTTTTCTGTCTTCTAGCATTCAGGCATCTTTCACTGTATCTTTTGTTTCTTACATTCACCTACCATCATATTGGCACGTGAAAAGCATGAAATTAATGTTTGTTGCATGATTAAGCATATGAATGTATCAGAAAATATGATCAGCATAAATTAAATGGGAGACAAATGTAACAATTTACAAGTATTTTTTTTCATACTATATGAATAGTAAGATATAGTGTGTGGGTTCACTTGTACTTAGGAATAACAATGGTTCAGATTTCAGAGGCTTTTGATTTTGGAACACTTGCATAGATTTTATTTCTTTAACATCCCTAATATCAAGGCTCCAAATCTAAAATATTCCAACCTCTGAAACTTCAAGGATAATCACACTCAAAAATGTTTATATTGCAAAGGTTGTCACGTTTTTGGGTTAGGGATGCCTAATTTATATATTAAGACTTGTGTGTTTTCTATTATATAAAATTATATTATGTATTCTATTATATTAACAGTCATGTTATACCTTAAGAAATCACAAACACTCAAATAATGGAAAATTACTAATTTTGATGCAACATGGTATATCATATAAATGAGATTTTGGAAAGTCATCAAGGAGCAAGGTTAATATTGAACTCAACACCTATCGAAACTTTGTATAAATTAATTTTATGCTACACTATTTACTTTCTATCAGAATTATGGATCCGGACTAAAACATTTGTAAGCAAGAGGACTGAAGCTATAAATGCTGGTACTCTATAACTCATACACATGATACAATATTCAAAATTCATAAATTATATTAGAAGTATCTTTTTTAAAAAAATTATGCATTTTCATTGGAAAAGCAGATATACAGAGAGGAGGAGAGACAGAGAGGAAGATCTTCTGTCGAATAATTCACTCCCCAAGTGAGCACAATGGCTGGAGGCAATCCAAAGCAAGGAGCCAGGAGCTCCTCCAGGTCTCCCACATGAGTGCAGGATCCCAAGTATTTTGGACTGTCCTCGACTGCTTCCCCAGGCCACAAACAGGGAGCTGGATGGGAAGCAGGGATTAGAACAGGAGACCAAATGGGATCCCAGGTGCGTTCAAGGCGAGGACTTTAATCACTATGCTATCACGCTGGGCCCTATCAGAAGTATCTTAAGGGAGAACTGCAGTAACTGAATCAAATGTAGCACAATACATAATTTCAGTGGCACTATACTTACTCTTGGTTTACTGGTAGGTCTAGAGCTGTTCATAAATGTTTATTGTACTCACAGGTCAATGGTTTCACAAGGCAACTTTTCTGATTTACTGCTTTTTGGCCAAGCCAAGAAGTGATATGCTTTTCCTTTTTCACAGAGATTAAAATGGTGTTGATGCTTGAAACTATAAGCTTCACAGAGCAAGGCTAACATGATTTATCAAGTTACCCAGATAGCCCACTAAAAATGCTATGTCAGATAAAAAAAAAAAGTTGATGCTTAGGTTGCGAATCTGTGTTGACCAATGTGGCCTAGAGTAGGAGGGACAGCGGATGTTTCAATGCCTATTCCTTGAAACCTAACATATGGCCGCGTTTCAGAGCCTTAAAAGAATAACAGATCTGAAATAATTCATGGCAATGGAATTACTGATATTTAAACAGATGTCACTATTTTTTTTTTTTTAGCAAATGGAAATTGAAGTACAGATGGTGAGGGCTGTTATGCTTCAGAGTAGCCATTGTGGATTTTCAAAAATCTACATTTGGAAAATTGAGTATCACAAAATATATACTCTCCATATTTTCTTTATCAAATGAAAAGGAGAAAAGCATATTTCAGCCTCCTGGCTCTTGGCTACCTAGAGCAATAGAGAGCGATCCTCAGATTATTTCTTTCCATTGTCTTTATAATAAAATGCATGAAGAATTCCCTCCGTTTCTCAGTCCAAAAGCACTGTTCATCACTGAATTAGAAAATACCAATTATAAAGAAAATAGTAAATATTTATACCTCCATATCAAGAACCTTATGAAAAATAGCCTGGGCTAAGCACTCCCGGATGTATTTTTGGTGTTCTCGCTTCATGATATTCAGTTTGTACTCTTTTTCAGAAAGTATTCTTCCACTTCTAGTGATCTGTCATGAGTAAATAAAACATATACATAAATGCAAACTAGAAAATGTTTTGTTACCAAGAAATAAAAAGGGTGATGAGGAGAGAGGTGCAGGGGTGGGGTGAGCAGACAGAGGGAAAAAAGCAGCAGTATCCTCCCAACCTAACGGAGTGTATCAAGATGGTTGATAAACTTTCACTTCTGATAAATATTTCATAAGGCAGAAAGGAGAAAGGCAGTCTCATATGCCCTTCATTGTGAGAACACACACAGGTGGTGCACTTGACGTTTCAAAACAAGGTTTTCATTAGAGCAACAATTTTCCCTGATGGAACCCAGGTGTCCTTTTCATGCTGGGAAGAAGGGAGTAGCTGAAGTGAACAGGGGCAGGATCACACCACTGATGATCTCAAAGGGGACGCCTTGAAGGGTAAAACATTGAAGCTACTAAGGATCTTATCAGTTTAACTTATTTATTTTTTAAATAATTGGTTTCGTTACTCTGTTGTCCCACTGCTTTGCTTTCTTTTTTTAAAATATATTTTTATGTAGAATCATGTCATACAATTCTGCATAGGCTGGGATTTATCCCCTATGCTTTTCTTCTCTCACTCTCTAGCCTAGAATATACTTTAATTAGTTGTGATTCAGATTTTTACAAAGTATGCAGTACTGTACAGATAAGTATTTAATGATGGTCTCAGTTGGCATCACTACAAGCCCCGGGGTAAAAGTGTGTGTTCTTTCTTTTTTCTTTGAATACTTCCTCTGGGCAGGATTCCTTCCTGTAGATGAATCTTTTTTTAGATTTCTGTCTTATTTTCCAGTTATTTAATCCCTTTTCTTCCTTTTAGTTATAACACAGGGCATGTGTTTCTTAATTGACTTCTCAATTTTTCTGAATAGAGTGTTTCTAACACTTGTTGCCATCCATTGGGTTGTGGAGATTAACTAGGATCTTATGTGTGTTCAGCTATGATAATTTCTTTTAAAATGCACTTTCCAATGGAGTAAAAGGAACTGATTGTAAAAAGGATAGTTGGAATAACAACCTAGCTGCAGCTTTCAGAATGTGCTGTTGATAGGAGCTCCAGTCACACTGGTAGAAGTTGGGAGAAATGCTAGCAGACCCTGATTGAAACAACATGGTAGATAACATGTGTCAGTGTGATTTCTCCTATGGGACTATGTCTGGTCTTCCTAATTAGATTGGAAGCTCCTATAGGGCAAAGGTTCTTAAAATTGAACCTGCAACAGAATACTGGATTGCTTGTTGAAAAACAGACTGATGGTCCCTGTCCCAAAGTTCCTTATTGATAGGACCCAGGAAGGTCTCAGATTTGCATTCTTTAACAAGTTCCCAGGTGACACTGAGCACTGCGGATGAGGGACTGTATTTGAACAACTGCTCTAGAGGTATCACTGTATCTTCCTTCCTTACATAAACATAGGCACTGTTAAGTAAGAGCTAGTGCATGACATGATACGTAAACACATAAAGTCCTATCATTTTTGCATACCACTGATAGCCACAACAATCCTGAGGGCTACGCGTCAGGATCTTGCACTTCATTTTACAGGGAAGGAAACTGGGGCTGAAAAAGTTAAGTGATTTGCTCAGTATTCTCAGTCTTATAAGTGGAGGAATCAGATTTCATCCAGATCTGTCTGATAACAAAGCCCCAGGAGAGGGAAAACAAGTGCTCTGAGATCTATGTGGCTAGAGAGCCCAGCACATAAACAGCAATTAGAAGTGCAGTGTATGTTCTTTCAACATCAGGAAAACAACAATTGTTAAGGAAACCCACTGTATATTAAAGAGGTAAATAGCTAATGCTTTCTATAACCACAGCCCTTTCAATGGAAAACCGAAGTCGTTTTTAAGAATTTCAACATTCCAAACATTGTGTAAGGGAGAGTTATTAAGCCAGTGAAAGTCATCAAAGTATCAACAATCCATCAGAAGAAACCAAAGTTTAAATAAACTTCAGAGGAGATATAGAACTCTTCATGTTTTCCACACATTATGTCTATGATTATTAAAAACAATACATTTTTTCCAAAGTCAATAAAATCTTCTCTGTCTTCATTCTCTAACATTTTCTGGCTCATAGAATGTACTCAATAACTATGTGATAAATAAATGAACAGATAGATGTTTTATACTCTTTTAAAATTTTGTTTGTATTGGAAAGTTAGATTTACAAAGAGAGAAGAGAGAAAGAGAAAAATCTTCCGTTTGCTGATCCGTACCCCAAATGGATGCAACAACTAGAGCTGAGCTGATCTGAAGCTAGGAGTCAGGAGCCAGGAGTCTCTTCCTGTTCTCCCTTGTGGGTGCAAGGTCCCAAAGCTCTCGGCTGTTCTGCACTGCTTTCCCAATCCACAAGCAGGGAGCTGGATTGAAAATGAGCAACTCATATTTATCTGGCAGGGGAGATACCATGATCATGAAAATGGAGCAACTGGGTTATGAACTGATCCGCATACGGGTTCAGGCACTTACAGGCAGATTAGCCAATTGCGCAACTGTGCCTCCCCCAAACAAACCCAATAAGTGATTGAAAAATCACAGGGACTTTTTCTCAATATAAATTTTAGAACTCATTATGACATCTCTTCCCACCTTTTGAAGCACAATCAGTTAAATCAGACCTTTAGAATGGAAGTAATTTTTCTAAAATTAATGCACAAAAAAGATATCATTGATTAGTTCACAAGGGGAATCTGAAAAGGCAGGGAATTGTTGCACTTAATGAAACAGGAAAATGGAAAGTAAGTAAAGCCAATCTTACCAGCCCTGATCTTAAAAGATGCCGCCTTATCCTCGTATTGTTAAAATACCCAGCCAGGTGCTTATCAGTAAGGCTGTTGTATGCCGCAAGTAATCTGAAACAGAAAAATGAAACCATTAAGATTTTATGAAGTATTGCTTGATAACCAAGATGATTCTTGATGTTTTTATCCCCAGACTGTGATTAATCATTCATTCATCCAGGCACTCATTCATGGATATATTTCATAAACATGTATGAGCAGTTAACTGTTTTCTAGACTTGAGCTAGAAGACAGCCTGATTTCCATTATCTTGCAGACAATTAAATAGAGTGTGAAAAATCCAATAATAGAAACATGCAAACAGTCATGGGAACACAGAAGGGGACACCAGCTCCACTTGCCAGAAAAAATTTCTGAGAAAAGGCCTGATAGAAAAGTAGGGTTCTGGCCTCTTGATACATTGTATCCTGAACACTCAAGCATGTCTGCTCTCCCTCAACATATACTATCAAAAATCAACCAGTCCTTCCACTGGGAAGAAACAGCCCTTGTCTGTCTGTTAGTTGCTAACACCTGATGCACAGGCACCTCCTCTTTGAGGAAGCATGCACTGCAGCGCAAAGAGTGTGCAAAAATACCTTCCATTCCACTCCTGTAGGATGCTGAGTTACATTTCACAACACAGATTTGAGGCTCAGAACAGTGCATTATTCATTATATCCCTATGTGTGGTGCTCATAGGGTATTGGGTTTGGGACTCCTCTCTTTTCTCCAGTGGATCTTGAAACCTGAAGATGTGCTCAAGTCTCTGACATAAAACAGGGTAGTAGTCCCATGTAACTTACATACATCCTACCACCAACTTTGTTACCTCTAGATTGTTTATGAGGCCTTACACAATGTAAATGCTCTTTAAGTAAATATTGCACTATTATCTAGGAAATAATATCAATGAGAAAAAAAAGTCAATCTGACCAATACATGTACATTTTTTTAAAAAAATTACTTTTGATTGTGGGTTTTTGAATTCATGGATGTAGGCTTGTGATATGGCAGACAAACTGTAATGTAACCAGCAAACCAAGACACAATTATTTCTTAAGACTTATTTTATTTCTATTTGAAGGCAGAGTTACAGAGAGAGGAAGAGGCAGAGAGAGGAAGAGACAGAGAGAGAAAACCAACAGATTTACTCCCCAAATGGCAGGCACAGCCAAAACCAGGCTGATCTGAAGCCACGAGCTCCTCTGGGTCTCTCATGCAGTTCAGGGGTCCAAGGACTCACGCCACCATCTGCTGCCCTACCAAGCCACATGCAGGAGGTGGACCTGAAGCAGAACAGCTATGGCAAGCTTTGGCGCCCACGTAAGACGCCAGTTGTGCAGATGGAGGCCCAGACACATTGCCAGCCACAAAGATGTTATTTTGTTTAGGACTTATTCTTACCGTTTTAAGTCATTACTCAGCTTTTAAGTTCAGCATTTTTGAAGTGTACCTAGATAATTTTCTTAATCTCATAACCTGTAACCTCCTTCCTTAGATTTATCTTTGATTTTTTTTTCTGAGAGTTTTACTTAAAGGCAAAAAAAGAACAGACTAGTTTATTTCTTACATGCTTATACCCCTGCAACTTATCAGTCGGAGCCTATAAATCAAAGTTGGAACTATTTTTTCCAGTTTTAACCTTTGCTGTATGAGTTATTCTGGTGTTTTGCAGAAAAACGCTACACATATAGTTATGTATGCATGTACATATGCATTCATATAAATAGATACGCACAAATGTTGGATACAAGTATATATGGATAAATAGAGATGGGGCTGAGTTCTGAGAGAAAGAGGCAGTGAAAAAGCACAGTCAAGCCAAAACACAAACCTAAAGTAAAGCTGTTTGAGAAAGAAGGAAGGAAGGAAAGAAGGGAGAGTCGAAAGGAAGGAAGGGGGGAGGGTCGAAAGGAAGGAATGGGGGAGGGTCGAAAGGAAGAAGGGAAGAGGAAGGAGAGAGGAAGGGGGAGGGAGAGTGGAAAGAAGGAAGGGAGGAAGAGAGGGAGAGAAAGAGAGAAACAAAAAAAGAAAGCAGAAACAAAGAAACAAAGAAAGATCCTCTATTACCTGCAATGAAAAATTACAATCTGTACATTTCTGGAACAGCTGATCCTTAATTTATTCAGAGACCAGCGCAGGGACTCATAGAATCGAGTAAATGTCATTAGCAACAATTTTATTTAGCTGTTTGCACTGCCTTAATTATATGGAGATGGTATTGGTGACCTTTTCCTGTCTCTTTTCTCCTTAGCAGCTCATCGCAGGAAAGTTCCATGCTGTCAAATGGCAAGGAAAGTTTAATATTGTCCACAAACGAGACTGAAAAGCAGTTACAAAGCACAGAAGCCAAGGTGCCACGTGAGTTTTGCAGACATATGAACAACTACAGAAACTATTATTTTGCTGGATTTATGTAAAAAGACAGCCCAAGAGCTTCACTAAGGCACATATAAAACCAGACCCAGATAATGCTTTGAAACCATCTTTTAAATGAACTGTCTTGGTGTCCTATAGTTCATCAAAGGTTTCCTGTCTCCAAAAGGTCAACATCGTATCCCTTACCCTTTCTGAATCTCAGAATGTCTTTTCAGCTCCTCATTTCAAAAGGTGAGCAGGTGTCTCTCAGTCCTAACAATGCTGATTCCACAGTTCACAGACTCCTAAGATAAATCATTAAAGTGATATCATATATGTTCTTTTGTCTGTTTTTTAGGCTCAAAGTACAAAAAAAAAAATCAATAGTTTCAGAATAGCTAAGATTCTAAAAACCTGACTACATGACTTGGGGTCAAAAAGCTGGATTACCATGGATGTTAGTTTCCTTATTGATATATAAAATATTCTTTTCCTTTGATTCGGGCTTTGTAACATTTTAATATTTAAGTCCTAATAACAATGCCCAGCTTCAGCACCACCTAATTGTAATTCTGCTCTCTCGAGCACCTTCCTGTGCAAGTCATTGGTCTGTCTGATCCCTTCTGTACTGCTTGTCTTTGTATTTGGTGTGGGCTGTTACCTCCCACTATATTTACTGAATTATAAAAATTTACTAGCCAAGCCTCAAAAACAAGGCAGTAGAGTATTTCTGATGCTCCGTCCTTATCCTCTGCATCCACTGCCGTTTCTCACCCTGCTTCCCTTTCCTTTCTTGCACTTGGCATAACCCCAGGCCAGATATGGTAACCTTGATCATTCTGCACACTGAACACTCTGTTCCTTTGTTAGCATTACTCTCTGCATCCATTGTTAAAACTGGACTTTCTGGTCATGCTGCCTTTGTCCTGTGATCCTCCACTGTGTCTCCATTGGTCACAGCAAAAGCACCAGGCCATGGTAACCATACTACTCACAGGCCACACCGAGTCCCTCAATTGCCGGACAGGTCTAATTCATTTGTCTCTTGGCATGATAGACTGTTTACTCAGCCCTGGAGTCATTGTGGAGCAAAGTGCACTTTCTGACTCAATGCAATCAGGAAAACCATCCTCCACGAAACAAAGCTATGTCGTCTCTGTGTCAATTTCTACTAACCCCACTGCAGTTCACTATCCACATCCCTCCACAAAGGGCTTGGAGTTTAGAGTCTGACTGCTGAGTCATTGAGAGAGCTGTCCTTCCAACTGTTGCTTTTTAGCAGTAAACTCTGAATCCCCACCACCCACTACGCAGAATATATAAAGAAGATCCTATAGTATTAAAAGTATTGAATCCTATCCATCCCTCCATCTGGCCCCAAAGAGTCGGCCGCATGAACAGCCCAGTTAAAAGAATAGGCACCGAAACATATTTAATTGACTCTTCATTGTTTAGGTCATTTACTAAAGTACTAGAGACATAGAGTGGCCCAGATACTGACGCCACATATTTGCAACCTATTGGGGAGCTGTGCACATCCTGTGTGTTGCGTGTGTTGCATCTTGCATCTGTTGGGTGTGTGTATGTGTGCTGATTGCTCCCTGTATCATGAGTTGGTTCATTCGCAAAGGGTTACTAGGTATTATCATTCAGACACTGTGCCCTGAGCTGAAAGAGTCCAATATCCATTTATCATTCTGCAGATCACCATGTACTTCCACATACCAGGATTCATTTGCTTCCTGCTAGGCCCCTGGAACCTGAGCAATATCTAACTGTTATAATTCTTCCATCTTTCCAAAGTAAAAAATCTCCAAAGAAAAATTATTGCTTGATATGAATCACTAGAAGGAAATTGTGACTAAGGTACTATTTCCTTATGTCTCCAGTCATTCCGCTGGCCTAAAATGCAGTTTAACCACAAACCCCACACCCAGTATTGGCCACCCAGACACTGTCAGTAGGCAAGTGATACAGCTCCTGATGTCCAGCTCTGATTCAATCCTGGCTGCACTGAACCTGACTCTGTAACTTGAATCAAGCAACATAAACTACCTCCCTCTGCCATGACTGTTCTACTATCCACAAATCACTGGAACATAAACACAGTTAAGTGGCATGCCATGCTAATCCTCTACCTGTTAATGCCAGCACCGCATATGGGTACCAGTTCATGTCCCAGCTGCTCCACTTCTGATCCACCTCTCTGCTTATGGCCTGGGAAGCAGCAGTGAATAGATGACCTAAGGCCTTGGCCCCCTGCACCCAACGGGAGAACCTGGAGGAAGCACCTGGCTCCCAGCCACACATCAATTCAGCTCTGGCTACTGTGGCCATTTGAGGAGTGAACCAGCAGATACAAGACCTCTCTCTGTAAAATATGCCTTTCAAATAAAAATAAATATTTTAAATACATACACACACATAATTAGTTTAAGTTCTTAGTCTATCCTAACATTGGAAAGTCATCATTATAACCCTTACCAACTGTGTTTCTATTCACATTCAATCCATAACTGTAGATTTTCCAAGAAGATACACATTTTGTCTGCAGCTTTTCTCTTTTCTTTCTAAATCCTCACCTGGATCATTTCTTAAAACCCCATCAAGGTAACCTTGGCTTTTTCTAGTGTGCACATGAAAATTCTCTCAGCTTCTATGCACTACCCAGTTTCAGAGCCACTTCCATATCTTTTGGCAGTGGTTTCACA